ACAGAGGAACGGGGAAGCCTGGAGAGCCTGGCTGCAGCACAGTGAAGTAGAAATTTTGCATTCTGTTCTATTTTTAAAATAGACGTAAAAGGAAGCGTGAAAATGAGTGAGGCAAATGTGTTTCCAGGAAGTCTCCAGTAAAGGATATAAATGCTGTTGATGTAATGTCCCTCAGGTTACCAAGTCTCAAAAGAGTCTTCACACAGGGCAGTATGGACAGCTTTATGGTCTCTAGACACTCGTCAGCCTCTTTAAAGTCCAAGCATTTTTTTCCCCAGCTTTCTTTGTTTTGACATGAAAGGGTGAGCAGACACAAAGACGGCAGACGGTAGTCGAAGTGGAAAGGTGCACCGTCTGACATATTTTTAGGCACAGCAGGAGCACCTCTTGAGCCGAGAAGTTCAGCTCTAAGAAGGACGCACTTGATGTGAGCGCCTTTCTGTGAACTGACCAATCGTAATACACAATAGACTGGCTTTCAAAGAACTGAGAAACATGATGGTTGAAGACAGCACCAGAGACTTTATAAAGAAAAGGAAAGTCTTCATTTTAAGCCCTTTATATATGAAACGACTCTAGAGTACAGTGACAGCATTAACATCATCATTCAGCCAGCTTCTATGAACATGGGTCTCTTTAACATTCAAACAGCATGACGAATAAAGTTAACTTGAACGACAGCTGCTATGCCTCATATTGATAGAAAAATTGGCTTTTAATACCTTCAACATTGCTACACATCACTTCCCCCCCAAAATGCTAATGTTTATTTCTGCACTCCTCAAGGCAAAACCTCATTTTTATCTGCCTACTAAACTCAAAAAACAAGAGACTACATACACTACATGTAACGTAGTATAGTGGAAAACTCAGAACCCTGATACAGGCCACTGAATGTCTAGGAGTAGGAGAAACTAGTGTTTCTCTGCAACACATCAACACAAGCAGCATTTCATCTTAGCAGGGGGGCAGCTACAGCTATATGCTTGCCTATGATCTGCTCGGGGTTTTAGACCATGATGCAAGTTTGGATTCGCTTCGCTCAAAGCAGCTCTGCTTCAGCAACACAGCAACCAGCAAGTCAGTCTAGTCTATGCCCCAAACGGAGACCAACAATGTCAGAGCAACAGCTCTTATGAACAATTAACAAGGAGGGGGAAATTTTCAAATTTAATAGAGTCTTAGTCTGATGGAGAAATCTTTCAAACTCACAACTGACACCGAGTTTTATATGGCAAGAAACTGGATCAAATGTGATAAGGATGCTCTACTTATTCTACATTCTTCTGATTCTCAATCTTGTAAGTTCGGTCTACGCTGTAGGCAGTGTTTAAATATGAGCAATTTATGAGCTAATTAACGAACTTGGGAACCGTATGTGATGATATAAAAGACAATAACTATTGGTTAGCCACAGAAGGCTTGAGCATGTGTATGCCTGCCCGTGGAACAACTATAGAGTATAGACAGTATAAAAGATTGTCACAGGTTCGTGACCTGAAAAGTAAAGTGTGTATGTTTGACCTGCATTAATTTCGAAGGCCAGCAGGGGGCGACAGCTTGTGTTCGTACAGAAGTTTATTTGGAAAACATCCACTTGCTTTGTGACCTCAGTACGCAGGTTCATGAAAAGGGCATCAAGTTTGTCTTGTAAATAATAATTTAATAATATTTGTAATATTTAAGTAATATTTGTGATTTATAAGGCGTTAGTCAATGAGGGCTCTTTTGTTTCACGAAACACCACATTTTCAACGGAGAAAATCCTGTTATAGATGTGTTATGATGGTACTTCACTAGCTATGGTGACATTACAGTGACTACACCCATCATTTATACGGTTTGCTAGAAACGACGACTACTTTTGTTGGTATTTCAGCTTTGACTGATCCTTGTAGTTTCTCTCTAGAGAGAGAAATGAGGACTTCTGTAGTAGCCGGGTTGGCTGTTTAAAATTTAGATTGTCCTCTCCAGCTTCAACCCATTCAACCAATCGGCATGTGATTTAAACACACCCATCGCTTATGAGCGGGCACTGTTAGCTCAGAGGGCTGCGTGAAATTCTGCCTCTCTAACCCTTCCAAAACTTTTCACGTAATGCTTCTCTCTGCAAAGGAGCAAAGAAACGCAAACAAATACCAACACTGGATCATAAATCGGCCTCCGGACAGCTGAAAGGGGGTGATTACACTTAGCCCAACTACCTAAAAGAAGCAACAGCAGCTGTTAAGCCATGCATTCAGAGAATATTGATCCACCCGTTCACGCTGCCAATTACATGTGATAAACTGCTGTCGCCGTTCTTAGCAAAAATCATTTCATTAACAGCTTTTTGTTTTATTGCCCCTGCAAACCTTGAACAAAAGGAATAAGGCACAACCTGCCTGTTGTTTTCAACTATGCCATAAGAGCAGCAACAAACTGAGCCCTCACATCAGTGGCAATTGCAGATCAGTAGCATAGCCTAATGGGGTGGTTTCATTAGTGAAGCAGATGAATCAAATACTTGGCCAAATGTGCAATTATCCGTATCTCTGCGGATGGAGGTCATTAGGACTTAGTATGAGCTATTGGAGCCCATAAATAAATGATCAGTAAACAGCACACTCTATGCAGCAGAGACAGCAGATGACTCTGCATCATGGCCCCTCTCAAATCATCACAATAGCATGTGGACCTGTGGAAAAGACTCAGTTCATTTTTGAGGTGAAGTTTGTGTAAATGGATAAAAGAGGACATTTTTGCACATTTTGTGAACAGATTAAAGAGCAGACGGAGGGTCATGCTTGAATTATTCTTGAAAATTCATGGTTGATGATCCACCTTTAAGCCTTCCTTTAGGACCACCAGGGCGTTCCCAAACAACAAAACAAAGGTGGTAAATTATGTTCTTAGCAGCAGAGTCCAGAGAGAAGAACTTAAACACGCAAAAGAAAAGAAAGGTTGTTTAGGAGGCTTGAGCAGCGTTGCATGTAAGATGGTATGTGAGGATAAAACCCTGGAGAGAGCAATGCGAGCGCAGAGGGTTGCCAAATGTTTACACATTTCAGCAAGTTATTTGCATTGTCCTGTGGGAGACAATCAGCACTCAGCTCCCTCCCAGCAGGATTACAGAGAAAACCCCGAGATAAAGAAGAGCCTAAATGGATCTCCTCTAACTGGTACTTGTTTACCAAAAAAATCCCTTAAAACTTCTTGAGACATTTTCAAAGTTCCATCATAAGAGCTTCAGAGGAGAAAGGGCTAACAATAGCAGCAGTTTGTCTGAACCTTTACAGGTTTTTCCAACGTTACACAGCAAGTCCCGAAACCCAACGAGACAGACTCAAAACTCTTTTTTTTTTTTAAGTTAAGACCACAACTCCGCCATCCTTGATAAAGATAAAAGTTGTGGTCACATTCAGGACCTCAAAGAAATGTGTTTTGGATAAACAGATATTTTCGGAGATGGGGACCCCACAATTAGTAATTTGAAACTCTCCCTGCGTGTGGGTCCCAGTCCAATTCTCTGGAATCAATCAAAGCTCCCAAAGGAACTCCCTGGACCCCTTAATCTCCTGGTTTTATTACTTTCCAGACAGTCGGCCTGTTTCACCCTACCCCCATTTCTCTTTTGTACTGATCTCCAGCAAAGCCAAGGAGGGGCTTTTTTTCCCCTCTCTATCTCCCCTTCCACTACTGCAGAGCTCTTTTCATGCAGGAAAGGGTCTTTCATCAGGCTCCACACGCAAGAGAGCCCAACAGCTAGCAGAGGCCCGTCTCTTCTCTCTTTCTTTGCACATTCATTCTTTTTAAGTGACAAACCACACAGCGTGCTTTCAAAAAAAAGAAAAAAACAAGGTGCACGGACCTTCTGTTTTGACACACAAAAGTATTTTTATTTGCATATCCTGAGAATTAACGGAGAAAATTGGGCCATGTTGCACAAGAGTCAGTTACTGCCACATTTTCTTTTGGTCCAGACCTCATGCTGCTGTGTTTGATAAGGTCTGCCAGCTTAAATGATAAAGATATGACTTTGTCACGATGGGGTATGCGATAAGGGCTGGAGCTGTGCACTCCAATGACTGCTGGAAAAACATTTTTCCTCATGACTCTCCAATTTATCTCAGGCACCGCTGGCTCCAAGTGCCAATAACAGACTCTGTGTGCTGGGTTTTTCTGAACCCCCCACCCCCTTACACACACACTCACTCTCATTATTCTAAGAACAAGAAATCACGCCCAGTATCGGTGAAATTGTGTGTGTGAGACAATACTACTAGTTGAAAGAACATATATTACCGACATGCACACACTGCAGTGCAGTGGCCGCACTTCAAAACAATTAACAGAAGCAAATGAATCGGGTCTGTTTATCCATCAGCAAAACATGTATTGACGCCCAGTAATGAGATGTCCGCTGGACTGATGATGCCAGCTTATTACCTGACAGTGAACACTAATGACCCTTTGCATAGTGTAAGTGTGCGGCCCCCCCGGAAATTCCATGACCACACACACACACACCTTGTCTCACACAGATTGATGGATAGACTCCAACACACCAAGCAGAATCTGTTGCTTGGCCTTTGCAGGTTTATTGCACATAATTCAGAGACACGCTCATGAACACAACTACACCGCATGTCTGGCAATGGCTTGAAAGACAACCGGAGAAACCTATCAGCAGTTCTGCCTCAACAGCCTCCACGCAGACAAAAGGAGGGAGTGTGAAAGCGTGTTGCTTTTGCTGCTCGGAAGAGGGGCTGGTCTCGGATTAAACAGTGTGCCTGTAGTAGAAAGTAGCCTACTTTTAAAGTTATCTAAATATGGAAGTGTGTCTGACCCGAACGCCGCAGAATTAGCTACCTAACCCCCTGTCTGATTTCCCCCCTCCCCGAGACATTCCGTGCGTTTTTCCATTCCAACTCCTCTAAGACAACCCAGGCAAGTTCCTCCAACCGAGGCACGAAGAAGCAGACACACAGCACAACTATTAGTGGGTTGCGGGCATTTACCTTTGTCGACATGCTTTGCAGCGGTGGTCTCCGTGTAGAGAAAGGTGAGACAGAGGAGAGAGAGGAGCGACAGAGCTCCCCGCTCGGCCATCACTTTTCACGAATAAATCTTTGCAGGCTTTAAGAACCCCGGAGAAGCTGTTTTTGTTTTTTAAATAAATAAATATATATAAATCCTTAAAATCCCCGTCCACCTCCTGTGAATGCACAAAGAGAAGAAGGAAAAAAAAGTTCAACGTCCTAAAATGTGCAGGAACATCCGGAGCCAGGTAGGCTACTTTTAAAACTGGCCGGATGAAACATGTAGCTGGAAGGAGAGAGCCGCAGGTTACACACTGTTTTCTCAACTTGGTCGAGGCAGAGGTTGGGGAAGGGAAAAAACCACTGAAATCAATCCATTGCCACGGAGGCGCAGTCTCAGAAAGATTTGCGCACGACTCGGCACAGACGCGTCCACTATACCGCTCCCGACATTTGCCGAGCGCGCAAAAGACTAGAAAGAGCTCAGTTGGAGTAAAAGATAAGATCCAAGCCGAAGGAGAAATCTCTGCCGCGGCCAGCTCACTGATCGCGGACGGGACGTAAGAGGAGCAGCGTGTTGTAGGGCTGGATCTCCACGGGCTCCCCGGAAAACAGGGCGTGGAGTCTCACAGAGGTTTGGATCATGGGCCGCTTCTTTGCGCTCAGGCGAAAGCTAAAATATGGAGTGGGAGTGCAAAGCAGCGACAGCACCTCATTTCCGCTAGTGGTGTGCCATACCAAGTAAACACAGCGCCAGTATTGACCCTTACTGATACTTTTAATCTATAAAGTTAGAAGGAGAGCAGTGTGCCATGATTTATGACACAAATCATCATCGACTTGCAAATATAATTAATGCTGAACACATTTTAAATACCATTAAATCACTGTGTTTTTACTTTCCACACTGACTAGTTAACACACCTTTCCGTTTTTCATGCATTTTAAAACTTTTGGAGACCAGGAGTGTTAAGGTTTCTGTTCCTAAAAGCACAACTTCTGTTGTTTAAATCTTTTATAGGCAATAAATAAAATAGACCTGACAGTCAACACAGAGGATCATGATGTTTTTAATGTTGGAAGTATATATTTTTCAAATGTAGGCATTTCACGCAATTCAGTGGGATACATACTGAACTTCCAGAATAGAAGCAAAGTATCAGTCCGCACTAGTACTACCGATATCTGGATCGATCCGCCCTCCTCCTCTAATATCTGCCAAAATATTGAGCAAATTCACATCATCAATGAAGTCTTCATCTCCTTAAGATTTTAGTGATATACTTCATATCAATATTCAGTTGTGTTACTCTGTCTCACTAATTAGCACCACACACAAGCTGTTAAATATCACGACCCACTATCACATAAAGATATAATACATGAGACTCGCAGCTCATTAATCTGTGCCCCTCACAACATCCTATTTTTATCTATGAGGTTTGCACTGGTGGCTAATTAGCAACAGACTCCCATTAGACAGGCGCCATCTTGGAAAAAACTTGAAAAGCCAATAACGTCATGAAATATAAATAAAAAGGCAAACCGAAAGGCATTTTAAATAGTTTGGCCATACTTACGCCTCATTTTCAAATCCTCAATATACTGTTCAACAAAACTGCAAGGACAGATATGGAAGACTTCAGAATAACAGTTTTTTGTTGTTGTTGTTGTTGTTTAGCAGAGGTGGCTAGGCTAATTTCCATACAGTAAGGATGGCCACCGGAAGCTGCAGATATATACACTCACTAAAGTTAATCAAACTGGTAATGAGTGTATATTGAGTAGTAGTATGTGACAAGCAAAGAGAATAATTAAACAATCCTCAACTCACTAAACTTTACAGGTTAAAATGACATTTTAGCCCATTAAACAGCTTTAGGCATATACATATATATGACTAAAGGGAGAGAGAGAGTTTTATAGAGTTTTCATGTGTGTGTGTGTGTGTGGGGGGGGGGGGGGTAGATTAATCTATTCAATCAATTCAATTATTTATAAAGCCTCAAATCACAACAGCAGTCCGCTTAATATTGTAAGGTAGACCCTACAATCAAATCAAAACAGTCATATGACCTCCCATGAGCAAGCACTTTGGCGACAGTGAGAAGAAGAACACCCTAATTATAATTCACATCACAGTTGTGAATTTGTTAGCCATACATTTTCCAAATCATAGGTGATATTTTGATATTTTTACCTCTTTCCTAATCCTGTACTTTCAGGTTGCAGAGAGCAAGTAGCAGTGTTATATCCATGCCTATTGAAGCTGTCTCTGTAACATTTTTTCCTGTTTGGAATAACGTCTGCTAAAATCCAAGCACTCTCAGAGCCCAACATCTGTAACCTGATACGGACAGATGATGTCACTTTGTGGCCGGGAATCAGAAGATAGGATTAAAGCCCTAAATCAAGTTGCTTAAAATAAACTCTGTGACTGTATGCATCGTTAGAGGACAAGGAAGCGGGGAAAGTGCACGTCCTTGCTTTAAAAAAAAGATGGGGAATTAAAAGAGTATTATATCAAGGTGAAAAGTCTGACATTTACACCGCTTTCCTTTTTGAGGAAGGCTCTTCCCTGCATAAAAAGTGACTGCTTGTTTGCAGTAAATGGAGCAGAATTATGAAATCAAAAACAAGTGCTGTATTCTCCTTCAGCTTGTGACTATGCTTTAGGGAGGAACAAAAAAGGAAGGGTGTCCTCTTTGGAAACCAGACAGTCTTTCACTCAGACACATGGAACAGCTCCCCCCACTGGTATGAGTAATCCATGACATATTAATCATGAGCATTTCTCCCTCTGGGCACGAGAGCGAGAGCGCGAGAGCTTCTTTTTGTTTGGTATCGTTGCCCTGAACATCTCATTTTAACTGTCATATATAACGTTTTCACTTTCAATTAATGACACCTTCTTTCTGGCACGATGCGCCCCAGGGCTCACCTTTTGGGCTAATGTCATTTTCTTTATACCATTGTTTTTCATTCTTTCATTCCCTTTCATTCTCGTGCAAGCTAAATAAATAATTGGATGTATTTAAACCAAATATCCCACTGGAGTTTTATATCTATTTAGCTGCCTTCAAGGACTTCACATCTGGTGTAGCTCAATTCCTTTCACCCACATCACACAAATCTGAACACATGAAATCAAGAACATACAGCCCTCTCTCTACATAGGCTGAGGAGACTGAAGAGATTCATTTTTATTTTTGCTGATTTTTAAAGCTATAGAAATTTATTATGCTATATTATTACATGTTGTGTTATTTACACAATCCTCCAGTATGTAAAACAATTAAAGTAATATACCCATTAATGAATTGTTAATTATAACCTAATAATATAATGCATAGTATTGTGCCTTTGAAATGCCTTGGTGTTCCCCCAGATGTGGACAAACTGGTTGAGGAGAAAGAGGTCTGGGTTTCTCTGCTTAGGCTGGTGCCATTGTTACCTGGCCCCAGATAAGAAGAAGAAAGTGGATGGATGGATGGACAGTGCTGTGCAGAATTCTTTAGTCTTCCTTCATTTTTTAAATATTTGCTAGGAAAATTCGAAATAGTTTATTAGTTGAAATGTGTAGAAACATAACTGGAGATATAAGTCAAAAACAAAGCTCTTACAATTCCAGCAAGCTTGAAAGTCAATATTTGGTATGACCACCTTTATTGTCCAACACAGTCTCAAATCTCTTACTCAGCTTTCATGTCATTTATTTATTTCTCCAGGCTTCTTGAAGGACATTCAAAGCTCTTCTTTCGATGTTTCTGCCTTTTGTTCTGTTTTCTGTCAAGATGATCCCAAACTGCTTTAATGATCTGGGGTCTGGGGAGGCCAATCCATGACTGATAGTGTTACATTGTGTGTTTTTCTACCCATGCATGCTTTTGCTGTACTGGCAGTGTGTTTGGGATCATTTGCTCACTGAAAAATTAAGATGATTAGAAGATGACACTTTGTGGACGGTACTACATGCCAGAGCAAAAACTGATGGGATTTTTTTGTGTTCATATTTCCATCATCTCCTTGTTTTTCTTCCTCATTAATAGCCACACTTATAGCCACCGAGAACATATCTGATAAATTGACAGGTCAGCTGAAGGACCATAAGCATCTCTCAGGTTCTGTGTCAGGTCTTTACCGGATTTTTTCTATTTTTTTAAGGACATGACTTTTAGATACTGTTTGTCTTAATTAGTTTTTTTTTTAAGTTGTCATTTCTTCCTTTGCCCTCCATTTGTCCAACTTTTTTTTGAGGGCTCACAGTATGTCATGGTAGTGTAATCTACAGCAAGTTTTTAGCTCTTAGTGAATCACCTTGTTGGTCCAAAAATACTATTTATGCCCGTCAAACTGTGTTATTCTTTTCATTTTTTGTAACTTAAGCTAAAGGAATTGGAACAAATTATATGTTTTTGTAAGTGAGAAAACAAATAAAAACCTAATTTTGTGAAATTAAAAAAATATGGTCAGGTACATTGACTGGACTGAAAGTAAATTTAAAAAAAAAAGACAGCCAATGTTCAACAAAAGCCTCAAAGTGGTTCAAGGCCTTAACATTACAAGAAAGTCTGACTCCTTGAAAACAACCAGCGTTGGCTCAAGACTTTTGCACAGTAGTGTACTTTTGCACTCATGAAGAAAAAGCCATTTTTACTACTGAATACTGAGTATATTATGTTGCTAAACTTTTCATACTGTTACTTAACTAGGATTATGAGTTTTGCTTTTCTAAACTGTTTTTAATGCAGAAAGGAGATCTTGTGCAGTCCCACCTTTTAGGTAATACCATCTATATGAAGGCACAGGTTTGCACATGAGCCTGAAATATTTGTCCCAAGTGTTTTCCAACCTTTATTTCTGATCCAATATTATGACTTACTGTGGACTCACTGATTTTCACTTGGTCCTCTTAGACACACTCCACAGAAAACTAAACTAAACTAACTAAAATGCTAGCAATGCCCCTGTTTTTGGGGTGTAACAGATAAGAATTAAGTTCATAATGATGTCAAAGAGCTTTAGTTTGTTGGTATACTTAAAAAGATCATCAAACTAGCTCAGAGAGGCAATGAAATCTTATCAGCAACATTGCAATGCAAATTTGCCTTTACATCACGCAGACTTAACACTATAATTTATCAAACAAATGTTGTGGACCCTGTTTAAATTGAGTCGACTGATTGATTTTTGACTGACCAAAAAGTAAATAATTAACAAACCCTCAGTGTCTGGTGGCCTTGTGCTTAAATAGCGCAGCCCCAGAGTTTTACAGCCCTGTTTTGGTTTGATGTGCCTGCATCTCCATGAGCAGCAGCCCCTCCACAAAACATACATGTGAACTGAAAAGCAAGTACAGCACGCTGAGATCAATTTAAGACGAGATTTACATAAGGTCTCATCACGGCTGCATATTAACGTAGCTTTACGGGTCCCGTTTGTCCCTGCACTGAAACAAAACAAACACATAAAAAACAGCTGTTTCATACAGAATAAGAATAATTGCATTTTTGTATCAGGGGATCTTTTTGTTGTTAGGAAGTTTACAGGACGGCACAGATTTCACTTACTGTTCAGCATAAGCTGCATACATATGTGATATTCAGATCATGGCACCTTCAAAACATGTTTTTCCTCTGCAGGAATTTTAGGA